TGTCATTTAATATGCTACTAGAAATGTTAGCTTCAGCAATAAGAAAAGAAAAAGAAATTGAAGGAATTACAATAGGCAAAGAAGAAATAAAGCTATCATCTTTGCAGATGATATGATAGTATATTTAGAGAATCAAGTAAAAAACTACTTGAAATAATAACTTTAGCAAAATTGCAGGATATAAACCACATAAGTCATTGCCTTTTCTATATATTGCTTACAGAGCCAAACAGCAAGAGACAGAAAGAGAAATTACATTAAAAGTTGCTGTAGACATTATAAAATATTTGGGAAGTCTACCTGCCAAAACAAACCCAGGAACTAAATGAACACTATTACAAAACGCTTTTCACGCAAATAAAGTCAGATCTAAATAAATGGAAAAATGTCAGTTGCTCATAAGTAGGCTGAGCCAATATAATAAAAATGACAATTCTACCTAAATTAATTCACTTATTCAGTGCCATACCAATCAACGTACCAAAAAAATACTTTATAGAGCTAAAAAAAATAATAACAAAATTCAACTGGAGAACAAAAGGTCCAGAATATCAAGGAAATTAATGAAAATAAATGCAAAGGAAGGTGGCCTAGCTGTACTAGATTTTAAATTGTATTATAAAGCAACAATCATCAAAACTTCTTGGTACTAGCTAAGAAATAGAGTGAGGGATCAGTGGAATAGGGTAGGTACACAAGACACAATAGTCAATGACTACAGTAATCTACTGTTTGATAAACCCAAAGACTCCAGCTTCTGGAATAAGAACTCACTATTAAACAAAAACTGCTGGGAACACAGTGTGGCAGAAACTAGGCAGAGACCAACATCTCACACCTTATACCAAGATAAAGTCAAAATGGGTATACTATTTAGATATAAAGGCTGATACTATAAGCAAACTGGGAGAGCAAGGAATGGTTTACCTATCAGATCTATGGAGAATGGAAGAATATGTGACCAAACAAGAGATAGAGAATATTATGAAATGCAAAATGAATGGATTTGATTACATTAAATCAAAAAGTTTTTACACAAACAAATCCAAAGCAACCAAGATTAGAAAGGAAGCAGAAAGCTAGAAAAAAAATTTTACAGCCAGTGTCTCCAATAAAGGCCTTATTTCTACAATATATAGAGAACTGAGTCAGATTTTTAAGAATAAGAGTCATTCCCCAATTGATAAATGGTCAAAGGATATAAATAGGCAAGAAATTAAAGCTATCTGTAGTCATATGAAAAAATGCTTTAAATCACTACGGATTAGAAAAATGGAAAACAAAACAACTCTGAGGTACCACATCACACCTATCAGATTGGCTAACATGACAAAACAGGAAAATGATAAATATTGGAGAAGATATGGGAAAATTGGAATATTAATGCATTGTTGGTAGAGTCGTGAACTGATCCAACCATTTTGGAGAGGAATTCGGAACTATGCCCAAAGCGCTATAAAACTGTACATGTCGTTTGACCCAGCAGTACCACTTGTAGGCCTGTAACCCAAAGAGATAATAAAAAAGGGAAAAGCACCCATGTCTACAAAATATTTATAGCAGCTCTTTTTCTGGTGGCCAAGAACTAGAGATTGAGGGGATGTCCATCAACTGGGGAATGGCTGAATAAGCTACGGTATATGAATGTAACGGAATACTATTGTTCCATAAGAAATGATAAGCAGGCAGAATTCAGAAAAACTTGGAAAGATTTATATGAGCTGATGCTGAGTGAAGTGAGCAGAGCCAAGAGAACATTGTACACAGTAACAGCCACATTGTGCAAAGACTAACTTTGACAGACTTAGCTCTTCTCAGCAATGCAAGGATCTAGAAACTCCAAAGACTCATGATAGAAAATGCTATCCACATCCAGAAAAAGAACTTGAGTCTAAATGCAGATGGAAGCATATTATTTGCTCTCTTTTTTTCATTGTTTTGTTTTCTTTTTCTTCTTTCTCATGGTTCCTCCCACTGGTTCTAATTCTTCTTTACAACATGACCAATATGAAAATATGTTTAATATGAATATACATGTAGAGACTATATCACATTGTACACTGTCTTGGGGTGGAAGGAGAGGGGAGGGGAGGGAAGGGGAGAAAATTTTAAACTCAAAATCTTATGGAAGTGAATGTTGGAAACTAAAAATTAATTAATTTATAAAAAAATAAATAAATATTATATTGTGAACTCTAAATACATATATACGTGTGTGTGTATATATGTATATGTATGTGTATATGTACATGTACATGTACATGTATATGTTAGTAAAAGGAATTTTAGTCAAAACACTGAGCCAAAACTTCTCCAAAAAAACAGACATGGAAGTCAAAGGGTTAGCTGTAGCAAGAGCTAAGGTACATTACTGTGAATATAATGACTAAAAGTAAAACCTTCTTCTCAAAGACCGAATATCAGTGCCTGGCGTTTTTGGTCTATACCCATTCAGAAAACTCACAAGAGCATTTAAAAACTAAAAGGTGCTATGGGGAGGAAATGAACAAATTACTTTTCATAAAGGTAGTATGGAAACACTGATGGCCTATAAACTGTAGCTATCCCTCATGGTTCTTCCCTGGGTTCTCTTCTCTTCTCTTTTCTATATTAGTTCACATGGTGATTCTATCAGCTTCCTTGGATTCAGGAATCATCTCTATGCTTATGATTCACAGAACTATTTTTTCAGCCCTAACCTCCAGCTGCCTATTAGATATTTCAGCAACTCCAACTGCCTATTAGATATTTCAAACTGAATAACCAATAGACATCTTAAACTCAACATGTCTAAAGCTAAATCATCATACTTCTACAAAAACTCTCCCTCCTTCCAAACTTCTCTATTATTTCTAAGAGCACCATCATTCTCCCAGTCACCCAGGCTCACCTAGGTGTCATCCTGGATTCTGTATTCTCCCTCACCCTCTATATCCAAATTTATGTCGCCAAATCTTATCTGTTCTACCTTTGCAACATCTCTCATACATACTCCCTTCTCTCCTCTGACACTATTCCTAGTAGATTCAGACCCTTATCACCTTACACCTGGACTACTGCAATAGCTATCTGGTTGATCTCTCTGCCTCAAGTCTATCCCCAATCCAATCCATCCTACACTGAGCCACCAAAATGATCTTCCTAAAGCACAGGTCTGACCATATTACCCCTATTTAATAAACTCCAGTGGCTTCCTATTAACTCCAAGATAAAATATAAAAACCCCTGTTTAGCTTTTAAAGCCCTTCATATCCTGGCCCCTTCCTACCTTTCCAGTCTTTTATACCTTACTCCTCTCCATGTACTCCAAGATCCAATGACACTGACCTCCTTACTAGTTCTTCAGACAAGACATCCAATCTCACAACTCTGTATTTTCACTGGCTATCCCCTATTTGTGGAATGTTATTTTTCTTTGGGTCCACCTCCTGGCTTCCTTGAAGTCACCTAAATTCTACATTTTTCAAGAATCCTTTTGCAGTCTTCCTCTTTAATGTTAGTGCCTTCTCTCTGAGATTATCTCAAATTTACTCTCTGGACAGAAAGAAAAAGAAAAAGAGATAACAGTAGAGACAGACAGATTACAGATATAGATATATTCTATTTACATAGTGGTTTTCATGTCATCTTTCCCACCATCACTCGAATGTGAGCTCTTTGCCTTTCTTTGCATATCCAGCTCTTAGCACGCTGCCAGGGTAAATAATAACTTCTTAATAAATTCTTGTTGCTGTAACTGGGAAATAAGATACACAGGCAATAGGGTATAGAAATCTATCCTGCCCTACAGGAAAATAGAAGGAGAAAGGGATAAGAGAAAGGGGGAGGGTGATAGAAGGGAGGGCAGATTGGGGGAAGGGGTATTCAGAATGCACATCATCTTGGGGTGGGGGGAAGTGATGTGGAGTGGAAGTGAATGTTGAAAACTAAAAATTAATCAATTAATTAACTGGAAACTAAAATAAATAGTCTTGTTGACTGACAGCTATGAAAACTGAGGTCTTCTATATCTAAAAGCAAACACTATGTAGTTTCTCCACAACAGCATTAAACTTCCTTGTATTGTTCCGAAAGAGGGATCTATTTACTAAGTCAAATGGAGAAAAGGCAGAGTAATTGGTCTGTGTGACTACTGAACTCTGTTAAACAGAATCTTAAAAACATGGAAGCACACACATACATACACAAAGTAAAGTGTAATCTAAGTTTCTAATATGTCTACCTAAAACTTGCTTTATTTTATTCCATATATACAAATGTATGACAGATTTTATCTCATCAGGCACTACTACTATGACTCCTCACAAACACTATAATAATAATTTATTCCTAAAAGAAATATCTAAACTGCTAGAACTTTGATAGGTTATCAATTCATTTCAGTCAAATAACAAATAGATAAGTAATAAAGCATTATCTATTTTAAATAGCCACTTGGAGATCTGCTATTAATTTAATGGATCACACCTCTCACTGCTGGTCTGATCTACTTCCAAAATCTTAAGTGCAGAATTTATTTTAATATTAATTTCATTAATAGATGTGTATCACATTTATGTCCTATTAAGATGATGGGGAAATTTAGCACTGTACTTTAAAATGATACCACTTTGATACATCTTTGCCAGACATTTAAAATAGCATAAGAAACAGTAGCATCTTTCCATATAATCTGCTTAGGTCTCACAGAGTGGACATATGAGAACTGAACAGCAAAGGTTAAAAAAAGTTGGATCAAATTCATGACCATCTCTTTAAAAGGTTTGACAATTATAGCAAATTATAATTTGGTATTTTAACTTGATTGAGAGTCTAATATTGCAAAGACAAACCATTATTTCTAAAAAGAAATATACATGATATTCTAGTGATCCATTATAAGTAGCAACTAGTTGTTTCTTGGCTTATGAAAGGTTAAGATCAAGTGTAAGCGTAGCAACTAATATCTGTGACACTCTATTAGCATTCTTAAATGAATCCATACAATACACATGACTTACTTTCATTAAAAGCGTATTCAAATCCTTCAAGAGTATCAGGAAACTCAAGAGGTGGCTCATCTTTCTTCATCAGTTCATCCAAGTCTATTCTAGACAATAAATCTGGAGAAAAATAAAAGTGGCATGATTATAGACTGGTCATATTCATGTTAAACAATAAAGATAATATATCATACAGTTGGCAATTAGAAGAAAAATGTGCAAAAGAAAAATCCCTAATATTTAAAAAACACCTATTGTTTCTGATCTATTTAGTTTTATATATATTGACCATACTTATTAAACTATATTTATTAAACTATTTATATTTCTAAATTTACAATATAACATGGTACAAAACAGCACTACATACAATATGGAAATATATATATAGTCATAGTTAGTTCCCAGAGAAAACATCACTCAGACTTAACATATGTAATATCAACATACAGAATACAGATTTTTGCTTTTAGAGGCAATGTGGTTTATTAGATAGAATCTTTAACATATCCTAGCTGTGTGACCATGCAAGCCATTAACATCTCAGGGCTCTCATGCAACTCTATAAAGATTTTAAGTTGCATATACAGTTGTGAATCTTCCCTGATAAAAAAAAAAAAACTTCCTCATGCAAATAAAATAACAGATTTGGATCACAAGTACTTTTGCCTCAAACTACGACTATAAATGTATTTCTCAATTTCCTGTACAAAAACCGTCCTGTGGTGTCTCAATGTGGTAAAGTTGATGTTGAGATCTCAAAGGCTATGACAAAATGCAAACTCTGACAGATTCTGTTACACAGAAAAGACTTTGAATAAAATCCCAGTGAGAGACTACTATCTGAGGACCAGACTATCTAACGGCAAATAAACTCATCACAAATATGCCAAGCAGTAAATTCTTTGGCTGGTGTGACCCATGAAATAAAAGTTCAAAATGTCCTTCAGTCATTTTCTTTCTTCTTTTATCAAGGTAGTGATGGCGGTGAAGTGTGAAAAGGGGGAAGTAAGAACTAAAAATCACACCATTCTTGGATCACCTATAAATATAATAAAATAACTGTGATATCAAAACAAAAGGAATAATCAAACTTGTAGAAAAAGAGCTAAAATAAAATGCACTGGACATGGCAGACACATAACATTTTTTAAAAATTAAGCAAAGAAAGGGATCATTTTGAAATCAGTTGATTGTAGTCAGTCTATTGATTTATTAGATCAAGATCCAACAGCAAATTAAGATACTGTTCAGAACAAGATATAAAGAGCAATAAAAATAGCCCTAATGACCTATTTAAACAAGTTATTGATGTTCAACAAAATGAGAAATGATTAAATGAACAGAAATTTACATAGGGCCTTTATAAAAGCAATCACCAAAATTAAGAGGCCAAAAAATTTAGGAACTACCTCAGCTGACCAGTACTTGATCTTCTTCCCAAGTGGAAAGACATGGCAACCAAAGATAGCACTAGTTTAGAAATATAAATTAATTTATGAAACTTTATGGATGAGGATGGTAAAAGACAACAAGTAGCATCATCTTACAAAACAATGAGAAATATTCAAGAGATAAACAGGCTTTAAGAAAGCTTGGCTAGGGATCAATTTCATTTCAAAACTGTCTTTAAAAAAAGTATTGAAATATAAAAGGAGAAGGACTACGGGTGAAAAATGGAAAACATCTGTCAGTATTTCTAAAATAAACTAATTTTTCCATCAATGGCATTGGAGTTTCCACATGTGGATTCTAGCATAATAATCCCTGACATATTACATGAGGAAATATAAATAGCACCAAAGAATATAAAGAAGAGAAATACAATTTGGCCAGGCCCAGTAAAAAGAGAAAGTCTATGCTGAAAGCCACACAATTTTAAAGATGTTGAAGGATCAATGTACAAGGTAGACAAAATATTGAAAAACTGAAAATAAAAATCACAGGCAGTATCACTAACAAAAAAGGCAACTAGGGAACATCAATATCACTACTTTATTTGCCTACTTTCTCACCTCTAGGATTCTACAAGAATGACCTAAAAATGTTCAGAAGGCATCTATACTGTGTGTAGTGGTGAGAAGTTATCAAACTGTGAAAAATGAACAAATACCATTTTCAGCATTTACCAAAGTGAGAGAGGAGTTCCTTCCACCTTTCAATTCTGTACTTCAATGAAATATGCTATGTTCCTCTTATTCCAGAAATAAGGGAATAAACACATATTAAGGTATTCTTGGTTTATATTAATTAAATAACATATCAAGGATATTTGCTCACAGTTCATGGTGATGAAATATTACCAGCTCTCAACACCCCAATTCATTTCTTATTTCCCATCCTCCAATATTTCTGGTTCTGTACCAACTACTGCACAAAAGGATGAAAAAACTATAGACAAAGTAATGAAAATGATGGCTCACATATTTATGCTTTTATATGTTAATGGTCCCGCATTTGTTGGTATTAGCTTTTATTCCTCCCTTCATAATTAACATCTCAGGGCCTCTGACCACCACAAATGATTAAGGGGGTCCCACTTCTGAGGATTTAACTTTTATCTTTGCCACTCTCCTACTTCAAGATCTATGCCTTAGAATTTTTAAGAATTATAATTGATTGAGGAGGTGAAAAGGAACATTGAGCAAGTCCACGGTTTTTTTGGTATTAAAATATATAACTATACCCATAAAGTAACTCATTTCCAAAGCCTTCCACATTGTTATTATTTCTGTAAGGACTTTCAAAGCTCAAGAATACAAAAGGATGCAGATAGACAGAGAGATAGACAGACAGACAGACAGACAGGTATATATAGGAAGGAGATTCAACATGTGGTAATAAACAGAAAGTCAGCCTCTGAGTCAGGAAAACCTGGGTTAGGCTCCCATGTTTCAAAAATTGGCTGTGACCCTAGGCAAAGCACTAAACCTCTGAGGGCTGAAATCAAACTATTTAACACTTTAAGATGTAGGATACTTAACCAATTTGCACTGGTAGAGGACCATTCCTACACCAATGAAATCACAGGTCCAAACTTCTCCCAAAAAAATTTACACACACATAAAGTTACCTGCACCTTCATTCCAATGAAATTAGAATAGAATCTGAATTGAATAATCAAATGGAAAGCCAGGGTGTTTGAGAAGAAACAAACATACAAAGTCTACATTTCACAGGCAAATAAGCCAGGATCCTCCCAACATGACCAGAGATGGGCCACAGACACATGTAGCCAGCCAGACTCTGAGGAAATTGGAAAGCCACCATGGGTACCAGGAGTGACAGCAACCAATATGAGCAGGGCAACACTAATGTAAGGACATTCCAAGGCTCTGAAGTTCCCTACCACTCTGTTCTGAGACACCAAAGAGTACTTTGATGTGTGCTCTGAACATCAGCAAAAAGGAGGATAGGATACACTGATTATCTCCTAAAAGAAACCTCAAAAGGACAAGTCCCAATAATGTTATAGACAAAACTTGAATTCCACATCAAAGAAAAACACAGCAAGCCATCTAGAAAGTAGTTCAAGTACCAAGGAATCACAGTCAGATTGGCAAACAACTGGCACACAAAAGGAAAACTTGGAATACTATATTCCAAATGGCTTACAACCAAGAATAGCTGAATGTAATCAGACATTCAACAAAACAGAGACTTTTCAAAGACTTCTGATAAAAGGACCAGAGCTGGACAGGAACTCAAATACAAACATACAATCCCAAGGAATTCTAGAAAGGTAAAGTTATTTGAGCAATTAGAAGGAGCTGTGTGATGATCTAGGGCAAACTTTCTAATAAGGGGGGGGAAAGAAATAATGTGCCTTTCAGAACCTTAATGCCTTCAAAAGGTATTGAGGTCACTAAACAAGAAAAGTAGACCCTGCAGATGCATTAGTTTTGTTTTTAGGGTTCTATGAGGGAAAATCGAAGGGAATCAACTCATCATCAAGCACTCACTATGCACTAGGTTTTGCTAAGGGGATGCTCTCAGGAAGCTCACAGTCTAACTAGGCAGACAACATGCAAGAAACTATGTACCAACAAGATATCTTCAGGATCAAATGGAAATAACTGCTGAGAGAAGGCAATAAACAGCAGTAAAGGGATCATGACAGCATTCTTGCATGAAGGATTTTTTGCTTAGATTTGAAAGAATCCATGTGTCTATGGCCTATCTCTGGTAATGTCAGGAAAATCCTGACTTGTTTGCCTGTGAAATGTGGACTTCATATGTTTGTTTCTTCTCAAACACCGTGGCTTTCCATTTCATTATTCAATTCAGATTCTATTCTAATTTCATTGGAATAAAGGTGCTGGTAATTTTATGCGTGTGTAAATTTTTTGGGAGGAGTTTTGGACCTGTGATTTCATTGGCGTAGAATTCTAAAGAAGTCAGCAGTTAAGAGGTAAGGAGGGAGAGAATTCCAGGCACAGAAGGCAACCAAATGAAAGTGCTGGCTGCCAGATGGAGTGTCTTATTCAAGGAAAAGTAAGGAGACTAGTGTTACTGGCTTGACGGGGAGGAAGGTGTGGGTATTAAGGGAGTAGCAATAGCAATGCCAAAAAAAGACGGCACCTGAAATATATTTTAAAAGTACAGAAGATAATAGGGGAAAGTTCAGAAGGAAGCACACTCAACTGGGACGGTTTTTAAACTAAAGAGTGAAATTTATTCTATACTTTTTTTTAGAGTGAGGAGTATGAAATGGAGATGCATGTTTCATGTGCAATCTTCTATAAGTTCTGCTATATGTACATGGAAATGTGCTTTTTTGAGGGAAGGGAATTGTTAAGTTCTTAATAAAAAAAAAACTGTATGTGGGAGAAAAGAATATAGTCAGCCTGATCTGAACAGGGTGATGTTTCCAGATGGAGTGAACCATAGGGAAGAAAAAGTTGTTGAGTGATAATGGCAGGGAGAGGGTCTGGAAGCAGTGCTCCTACTCCTAAGGATGAGAGAAGGTATATTCAGTAGCAGAAAGGTTGGCCAAGGATGTAATGTACTGAGATTTCAAGATGGAAGGATTATGAGAGAAAGCCATCTATTACTAAGAGCAGTTTATTAACAATATAATGGGATTTCATGAGACAAAATGAAAGCGGAGGGAAGTTCCT